AAATACAAATGACGTATACAGTGCACACACGAGATTGGGTGGCTGGCATAAAGTCTTGTACTGTAACTGCAGTATGTCATGCCTGTCTTTGTCTCACACACACACATTTAATTTTATGTGAGCTGCCAGTGGACAGCTGAAATCAATATAAATACAAATATATTATTGCCGACCACTTTAGGAAGATCTGGTTTCTATTGCCACATTTTTATCCAAAATGTGTAGTATCCCAAATTTCATACACACTATGGCTGCAACTAATGATTATTTTCATTATGGACTAATCAGCTGACTAATTTCATAATTAATTGACTAATTGTTAAGTCTATAAAATGTCAAGAAATTGTGAAAAATGATCATCACAATTTTCCAGAGCCCAGAGTGACGTCTTCAAATTGCTTCTTTGGTCCAAACAACAGTCCAAAACCAAAAGACACTTATTACTATACTATTATCATAAATGACAAATAATAGCAGCATGTCCTCAATTTAAGAAGATGAATCCAGCAAATTTTAATATTTTTGCTTAAAAAATGCCTGAAACAATTAATCGATTATGAAAATAGTTGTAATTTTCCTTTGACCGACTAATCGAATAATCGACTAATCGTTGCAGCTCTAATGCACACCATAATGACACTGTACAGACTTCTAGTATTTCAAGAGTTTTCGGTACACTTGCAATGGCATTTTTGATACCATTGCAAGTGTACTGGTGTTTCTGGTATGCTGGATCTAAATGTTATTGTAACTAGGATTGAAAGGTGACAGGGTAAAACATGTTTTCTTCTCTGTTTATAATCAGGACCTTTCATACTGCACTCTTGTCAAAAATGTGTTCATGGTGTTACCAAGTCGTTACTGCAACACAACATGATGATTCTGAGGAAACTCTTACAAAATTGTGCTCGGCAACAATGAAGTCGTCCATGATGACTGAGCAATGATTACTAGAGAGACAATCCCTTAAAATCCTGTGATTTCCAGTGCCATTTCATCTAAAGGCATAAAGCTACCATTAACTGACAAAGGATTTGCTGCGTTTGGTGACGCCCTAATGCACTGTACTGCTGTTATCCCTCAACACTGACCTGTATAGTCAATCATTCGGCTATATATACCCTCACATCACACCCTGAAAGCACGGGTGCATCCAAGCTTGCTTACAGGCTGCAGCATAGAGACAGACTAATAATAAAAACCTGTTAAATGACCTTAACAACACAATCTAAAGTAAACTACTATAATGCATATCTTTTTACTGCATAGTCTGTGTTCTCTTAAGAGACAGATCAAAGACTTTTTCAAAACACTACTAAGCCCCGTGTAATTATGAGAGGAAGCTGACAGAGGAGAGAAAAGAGGAAAACAAAACACAAGTAGATAAAGCTGGATTACAGTTGAGTTTGGAACTTCCATGACTGTGATGATACTGCCATACTCATTTGTTCAAGCAGCATCTGAGACCATGCTGAGCTGTAATCATGTAAAACTGAAGCGAGGAGGAGAGCAGGAATCTTTCTGTTGATCATGTAGCATAAGGGCAGACTTCAAGCTCACTTTGTCTCCAATTCAAAAATGCATTTCTGGATATATATTGCATTGCTTGCATATATTTCCCTCTGATTTTTATTCAGTAAATAAATTCACCGCAGTAAAAAAAATGTATGCGGTGAAAAAAATAGTGCCAAACACTACATCCATACAGTATGAGTTTATTGAACATCTCTTTCCAAAACATGGACACTAATATGTTACTATAAAAATGCCACTCTTATGGGATGGCTATCCACAAAAATGTTGGAACCTGGAGGCAAGGATTTGATCCCATTCCACCGCAACAGCATTGCTGGGGTTGACCAATTCATCCCAAAGGTGATGAATGGGGTTGAGGTCAGGGTTCTGTGTAGGCCTGTAAAGTTCACACTAAACTCAGAAAAAGATTGCTTTTTGAAAGGGGCTTATGGTGAAACAGGAAAGGATCTTCACCAAACTGCTGCCATGCAGTTGGAAGCACACTATTATCTAAGATATCGATCTAAATGTCCATCAGTTGTAACTAAAGGGCCCAAACCATTAAGACCACCAGATCAAAAATACACAAAAGTATGTGACCATATACAGTATGACTATACAGCTTACAGCTATACTATTTGGTCTAAGTTACCAACAAAACAGCTAACACATATAAATTGTGAAAAGATATATAAGTAATATAAAAAATTAAAGAGAAAATGAAAAAAGTGCAATGAAACACCCTGTTAAATGTTTAAACAAGAAAGGCTGTTTAGGCTGCTGTTGCTAATTGACATGTATAGCCATAATTCCAGCATTTAATCATTTCACCGGTTTTGTGATGCATACTATATTAATGAATTTTCCCTTCGGTGGAGCAGAAGCGATAAAACAAAATTAGTCAGGCTCAAACTTTCCGTAAACATTCAATCCCCAGGTTGAATCAGGACACTGAAGTTTCCACCTTTTTTACCCCCGGCAACCAAAAGTTCAATTAGGCAACTGCCATTCACAAAACTGCCGACTCATATGCAGTTTAAAATCATGCAACCTATTTTTAAATTCAAGGTGTGTGGAATTAAATGAACACGTGCTGTGAGCATAAAGACCATTTCCATTAAAGAATAATGAATTGCATTACTGCAGTAATTTGGATTGTCCTTGCAGCACTCCAAAGCTTTAAAAATGACTGAATTAGCAGGAAAAATCTTCCCAAGAGCAAGCTGGGCCAAACAGGCTCTCGTCATGGACAAGAAGCACTTGTGTCCCTAGAAATAACCCAAATAATGACCCATAGTGCTAGTATGACAGCCATGTGAGTTGTGCTGCTAAAACAAGGTCAGATGTGAACATGTCTGATGTGTTTTGCCATGCGCACATGACCCTGTGAGGTCTGTTTTTGGTGAGTCCTACTGGGTAGAAAATAGTGGGTCAGTTCACTTCACTTACTTGCCCCAATATTGAAAAAAGAGATCAAGGCCACCCTAAAAAGGGGCGGTTGTCACAGGGTTGCGTGTTGAGTCATGCTGTTTATGCAAGAGGCCAGCGGGTGGTGTACCAGCCGGAGGTGAGATAAGCGAGCTGCTACAGTTTCCCATGTCCGAAACCAATGGGTAACATATCAGATACGTGGAGCAAGGGACACAGCATTCAGCCTGCAGTGCTGACATGTCAAAAGGGATCAAATTTAAATCAGGATATGATACAATACCATGAAATTGTATGCATTGTGGAGTCCATGTGTAGGGCAGAGAGAGTAGAATGCAATGCGAAAACACTGTTGCTGTTTCTGCTGACAAACTACATTCATGTCTCAATTTCTAATGGTTAAGACCAGGATGGCACCTTGATAAGATATAATTTTGCACATATTAAATATAATGTTTAATTTGGGACTAGCTTAAAACCTAGAAGTATTCATCCACCTCATTTGGAGAGGGGATGTGGGGTAACAGTTTAATCTCTTATTCAAAGTGGCATTTTTACTCATGCATCACAGTATGCTTTGTGGGGTGGGACAAAATAAAAATCAATATTGAGGTTTTTCCTTTTGTGTTATTGATACAGTTGGAACTACTGTAGAGTATATTTTATTCCTGTACTGCATTGTTGAAGTACCTGGACTCTGACACCCTTGTTCCTGTTCAGGGTTTTCAGGGAGAATACTGTGCAAAATTTGGACTGCATCGGGGAGGACGGTCAATCTGTAATACTGCTTGGTCCATCTGTCTGTAATGTCTTTTTAAGCTTTAAACATGGATTTATTTTATGTAAAAAACTTCAATGTGGACCTTTAAAGTGTTTAAAATACCTCGCATCTGGCACACAAGCAAGGCAACTCTGAAAGTTAGGTAAAATAATAATATAAACTGGGCATGCCTTTACTGGCAATATGACAGCTTTTAATCATATATCATGGCACAGAAATGTTACTAAGGCTTCAGTAACATAGTAAATTACTGAAGGTTTTGCCAATATGTAAAATAGCCATTCTTACAGATTATACTACGTGTCTATGAGGGGCTATTAGTGTCGATCAACAGGAGAAAGACAGAGATGGGTTGCTGTCTCTTTCCAAACAGAGCCAGAGACCAAGATTATAATTTAATAATACACAGCCAGGACAATAATGTGATGGACAGTCAGACAAAAAATCCATTCTATAGTTCCCTGGAAAGTAAACCGTAAAAATAGGAAGTCATTCCTTGTTGACAGACAGATAAACTGAGAAAGATAATTGATTTAGCATCTATATGAGCGAGCCTGTGGAGTGTTTGCTTACTGTGAATCAGCAGGCAGAAGGAGAATTATATTTCTGTCAGAGCATCAGAGACAAACTACAGTTTTGGGATGCCTCTACCATACCTATGGTAGTGGGGAAAGATAATTCATATTAGATCTTCTTAGGATGTTTCTCCTTAGGGGGTTGTACAGTCCTCTGCCAAAAGTGTGTCCCTTTACCCATTTTTTCCAGCATATTCTATTGTCTCTTTTCATTTAGAAAATTTAAAATGAACAGAAGTATCCTCAGATATGCAAGAGGAGTACAAATGTGCCTTCAAATAGGCCCCAAATCATATTTTTACATAATGTGTAATTGTGAGAGGGAAAGGTCAGACAGTATAGAGTCCTGCAGAACCTAATGAACCATGAAAATAAACTGCAGACATCAGACATAGTCTTCAGAATAGTCAACACCAGTACATTGCTACTGCTGTGTGCAAGAGTGTGTATGATTGTAAGTGCAGCGTCTCAGAGTGACTGACAGCCAAAGCAAAAGTTCCCATACAAACTGAGGCCCAAACACTCTACAACTTAGAAAGTAGAAGAGGAGGAGGAGGAAGTGGTAATGAACGATGCTTTAACTGGCAATAATAAACAGTTGAAAATCATGCTGAAATTGGAGTTATTGGTTTCACAGAGAAGAAGATTAAATGCATCATCAGAATCTGTTAGGATTATTTTTAGGGCATGCTAAAATCAAACCCCTTACAGTTTTTCAGCAAATAAACACAGACGGATTGCCAAGTATAAAAGACCCTATCAAACTGGCAATAAAAAGGAAATGAAAGGGGTTTCTTCAAGGGTAACCATACTGTACATGCATATGGAAATGTCAAATGTAGAAACTATATTCAGTGTCAAACTCAACTATTCGCTATAGGTATTCTGTTACACTCAATTATCAAGGGTAGTAATTACAAGCATCTGGTAAAAGCACTTTTAATAATATACATTAAATAAATGCACAGGTTCCTCCCTTCTGCCTAAGCTTAGAGAGGTGTGTGTGTTCTGTCAAGTGGGATGTAATAGTGAGGCAAGGGTTTGTTTAAGCCATTCATTATGGATGATTAACACAGCGTATTTCTCCATGCCTCTCAGGAAACATGGTGAGCAAGGAGGGTGGCAAATGCATGCTCACCAACTCAGAGTCTGACTCGGAGGCAGCGCCCTTACCCTCTACCTCACTGGCGCTGGAGGTGAAGTATTCCCTGGAAGCCAATCGACAGGTGAGGAAGAGAAACAAGGCCCTGCAAGTGCGTTTCAAGGATATCTGCGAGGCACAGAACGAGCAAAGGGAGGCGGAGTTGCAGGCAGCAGGGAAAGGTGGCAAGCCAATCTCATACAAAGTGGCGTACCGCAAGTACATGACCGTCCCTGCCCGTAGATCCATCCCAAACGTCACAAAGAGCACAGGTGTGCAGACGTCCCCTGACCTGAAGAAACGCTATCAGACCTTTCCCTTTGAGCGCAAGAAAGGCCACACCTTTAAACACGTGGCAGCTGTGGAAACTTATAAAGGTCAGAATAACGGTTTTGTCATGGAGGTGAAGCAGTCCAAGGCTGCTGAGCAGGGTTTAGATGAGGAGGAGGAGGGAGCCTGCGGGGGGAGTGGAGTCCGGAGGACCAAGGCTCTGCTCCATACTAATGAGTGCATTGCCACAGTGGAGCAGCACACTGCACCTGATGGCCTGTGCTCTGACGCTCTGCTGCTCAGCTGCTCTGCTGACACAGACTGCCTTGCAGACACACAGAGAGGAAGCAGAGGCGGAGCACAGGCAGAGTACCAACTCTGCAGCGTCCCATCCAAAGCCAGGACAGGATTACAACACAGGGAGGCTGATACAGACCGCTCGACCAAGAGGCAGCTGCTTAATCTGGAGGAGGGCTTGTCCCGAACCCTGCCGGACAGGGCCTCCAAGGTTACTGGCCCCATTGCCTGGAACTCCCTTACGCAGGTGGAGTGCCTGGACAGTCCAACCGTGCGGAGCAAGCGGAAGAAAGCCCTGCAGCTCAACGGGCTGCAGAGTGAGACGCTACCACGTTCCAGCAGAGGCTGTACAACACAGGCACAGTGCCACACAGGACAGTTGTCTGCCCGGCCTCTACGGGGCATGGAGGAGCCTCTGTCACCCTGCAGAGGTGGTGAGGCTGGTGGAGCACTGCCCGACCAAACACAGGAGGCCTGTAAGCAAATAGTGCCTATGAATCCAGATGGGGATGTTAAAGCACAGCTCCAGGTCATGGAAAATCTCATCAGCTCCAGCCAAGAGACGATCAAGGTGCTGCTCGGGGTCATCCAGGAACTGGAGAAGGGGGAGGCCCACAGAGAAGGGTAAGACATTTCACTTATAGCCTTTGCTTTACACCAGAGATGCACTATTAGATTTTTCAGTACTGATTCCAATACTTCAACTCAGGATATCTGCCACTACAAAGTACCGATTTGAACACATTCATGATTCAGTACCCTCTTGATGAAAATTATTTCTAGATCTTAGGGATAAGCTTGTAAGAGTGACAGCAGAGCTTTGACTGAACCACCCAAAGAGTGTTGAAAAAGAGATCACAGTGGAATATAGCTGGGGTGATGTGGCTTTCACCTGGATGTGCCCTGCAGTGCTATTACAGCACAATGTCCTTTTGTGATGATTCCCCTCAGGATATGTTGGAGCTGCTGCAGACCACATTTACGGACAATGATCTTACTCAATTTGGCCTAAGTGGTTTGAAGACCCATCATATGAAACACTGCCACTATGAATGTGGCCTTTAAACCACATTCAACCCAAGGCCAGTAAATGGCAGACATGATCTCACTGAAAATATAACCATGTGTAAGATCAGTATTGGTAATGCAGCCTGTATCATCCAGCAGTTTCCTTTAGAATTTAAAATTTTGAATACATCTGACTATGGAAATGGAATTATTATGTTGAAAAAATAAATACCATCTTAAGGAGGACGTCAAAGCACTGAAGTGACACTTTCAAGTTATTGTATTGCTTAAGCAAAATACGAATCTAGACATTTAATAATTGGCCTTATCCAGCTGAACGCCATGTTTATCTAGTAAGTCCAAGGCCTTTGAAAAAGCCATGGCCTACGAAAAAGCCATTTACGGTCCAATGGATACTGAATATATACAAAAAGGGTTGCAGATAGCATCTAGTCCACTGGAATAGAGGACTGTCTATCCAAAGGGATGAGGCAAACAAAATGAGCAATTTGTTGAGTGAATTGCTGGGGCTAGGCACTCAGATCCTTGTCTGTTTTGACCAGAACTGCGGCGAGGTACGGAGTGAGAAAATCCATATAATCAACATCATCAACCTGGAGTCCAAAACCTGTGGGATTTACACACACATACACACCCGTCAAGCTTATAACCAAGGAGCACACAACCACAAATGCTCTGTGCTTTATGAAAGCAACTCTCAATATCAACCTGACTGCACAACAGGGTAAAACTTCTATTCAACTGGGCTTGAGCAAGGAACAGATTTTCTCACATTTTGAGTTTACACCATCTAAAAAGGCAATTATCCTCCTTCAATGTTGCACAAGGCCTTAATCTCCTTATCAACAAACTCATAAAAGTGTGTTGAGAGTGAAAAACTAAGCGGACATGTGGTGCAGCATGGGGAGCCATCTCTGTGTTGCCAAGCACACATCTGGCTTATCAGATGTGTATAAAGTGGCAGGTGGGAGAGAGAGAAAAGGAGAGGACTTCATTTGTAAGTAAAAATGATTACTATTTAATGTTGCCATCTGATCACATACATAAACAATCACATTTTGTTTACAAGCGTTATTTACAAAAGCCTACATTTAAAAAAAAAGCCATTTACGGTCCAATGGATACTGAATATATACAAAAAGGGTTGCAGATAGCATCTAGTCCACTGGAATAGAGGACTGTCTATCCAAAGGGATGAGGCAAACAAAATGAGCAATTTGTTGAGTGAATTGCTGGGGCTAGGCACTCAGATCCTTGTCTGTTTTGACCAGAACTGCGGCGAGGTACGGAGTGAGAAAATCCATATAATCAACATCATCAACCTGGAGTCCAAAACCTGTGGGATTTACACACATACACACCCGTCAAGCTTATAACCAAGGAGCACACAACCACAAATGCTCTGTGCTTTATGAAAGCAACTCTCAATATCAACCTGACTGCACAACAGGGTAAAACTTCTATTCAACTGGGCTTGAGCAAGGAACAGATTTTCTCACATTTTGAGTTTACACCATCTAAAAAGGCAATTATCCTCCTTCAATGTTGCACAAGGCCTTAATCTCCTTATCAACAAACTCATAAAAGTGTGTTGAGAGTGAAAAACTAAGCGGACATGTGGTGCAGCATGGGGAGCCATCTCTGTGTTGCCAAGCACACATCTGGCTTATCAGATGTGTATAAAGTGGCAGGTGGGAGAGAGAGAAAAGGAGAGGACTTCATTTGTAAGTAAAAATGATTACTATTTAATGTTGCCATCTGATCACATACATAAACAATCACATTTTGTTTACAAGCGTTATTTACAAAAGCCTACATTTAAGTTAAAGTCAGTGAGCAATATAAGCCTCTTGTAATCCATCTGAGCCTGAACCACTACTTTTCTATATAAGCTTAGTAGTCTTAGTCCAGTACATATTTTCAAAGTTGGATTTTTAGCGAGCCAAGCAAATATTCTAATGCTGCTTTAGTCACACTACATTAGTTTCATACACGCCTTACATAAATGTCACTGACACAACAAATAGTGCCCACAGGCTATAGGTGAACTGAGTGCAATTACATTTGATATATAACTGCTTATGTTATATGACATTCATTTTAAATTGGGGAATGCAACCCTGTGTACATTTATCACTATGCATGTTTTGATGACATGCTGCCCAGGCACAAATTGAAATTCAATAGCTAATGTGCTGAGACTAGTGAAAAATCCCTCTTCACACACACACACACACACACACACACACACACACACACACACACACACACACACACACACACACGTGAAAACAGAAAAGAAAAAGAAACGGAATTTTCCATTGATTTCTGCTAAAACAAACAGCAGAACCAAAATTAAAATCAAACAATATCAAAAAGTGAATTGAAATAGAAACTGGCCATAGTAATGATCCTTTAATTTTCACTTTCATCCCTCCTCTGGTCGTCGAATCTGTGCAACCTCAGGAGGAAGATAACATGAGCGCAGAATGGAAAAAGAGGGTGAAAGGTATAGAGAAGAGAGATGTCAAGTGGGAAGAACCACTAGTCCCTGAAGTAATTTTTACCACTTTAAATTCCCATTTCAAAGTTTTTCTAATGATAATCCCAATGTCCCTCAACATAGAAACTACAAAACGTAAGTCGAAGGAGGGCATACAACGCAGTGTGAAGGGTACGATGCAGCTGTAGAGTACATCACTGGTTGCATCCAACAGCACAAAGTTCAGGAATAAATTTGCTGCCTCATCGCCAGTGTTGGCAGGCCAGACCCATTTGATCACACTCATGGGGACTTGCTGCTAGCCTGTCTATTAACACTGTGTATGTGTGCATGTTTTATGCCTTTGGACTCAAACCCACTCAGTGACCTTTGGGAGAGCTCACCTAGTAGCACAAAGGGGGTAGGGTGTATAAATATACTGTTAATGGCACTATTGGCTTCGCTTTCCCTGTGAGGTCTGCCGAAATGAGCTCTACACTCTTATCAACTCAGTGTGAGAGGGGTGGGGAGGGACAAGGGAAAAGATATATAGACAGCATGAGGGCAAGAGAAAAAGAATAAGGGTGAGTTGCTGAAAGGATGAAATCCCGTTGCCATCACTCCATTGGCTGCTTATCGATTGGCTCATGTGGGTGGAAAGTGAAAATGGCCTCGAACTTCCCCACTGCACTGCTCTGTCACCCCAACTCCAATGACAAGCCCCTTAATTACAATTAAAAGTAAATGTCCCGATATCACTGCACTCATCCACTTCTCAGACTCTCCTCACTACCTCATTCTGTAACAAACTTAAATAACAATATTGTTATCAACACCTCTAATATACCTGTCACAGCAGAAAGGAGTAGATAAGGAGGGATCATTTTTTATTGGTGCTGCACCTTATGGGCAGTGTGACAAGAGTCCCTGAGAGAGATTTTTAAAATGTCCCTGCTACTGCAAAGATGAGAGAAGGAAACTAAATGCGAACATTAAATACACTGACCTCACTTAGAAGGATCCAGCGGCTTTTGCAGCAACATTCATTTGAGGAACCCTGACTTATGACAGTAATTGTTAAAGGGTTGGGTTCACCCAAATAACAAAAAACATGCAAAAAAATACTATAATCTCCACAGCTATGTACCACTGGTAAACAAGTGTGTGTAATTTGGGTGAATTGACATACAGTGTGCTTTTCGCTGTGATTAGGTCAGTCGCACAGATTTCATACCGGTGATTCTCGAGACATTGGTAGATTGATTCTGGTAATCCATCATACTAAAAACTGCTGTAGTTTGAGGTTGGTTGTATTTGGTAGCTACTATGCGTCACTCCATATACTCTCTTGATAGTAAAGAAGAATGGTTGATGAAGAATGATACCTGGGTATATAATAAAACCCTGACATTTGTACTGGATTTACAAGACTCCTTTCTGTTAATGCAGCAGTTTGGGTCATAACCATAAAAACTAACCAGGAGGTTAGAGGTCCATGTCATTGGTGAGATGAATCCACAGTACAGTCCGTTCAATGTAATATAGTATGTCATAAATTACAAGGGGAAACAGTTGCAGTTAATCAATATGCATATTTCCAGATGCTAATCCAATAAGAAAACCACTGAGCCTTTGAAGCATGTAACCGAATAGTTCCATTCAGGGCCATCACCTGGTCTTTAACTGCCCCGTGACAAATAGGGATCTATTATGGGAACTTGGTTCATAATAATATTTTATCACAGAGACAACTAATAAAATAACGATATGAGCACACACAGAATATAAGATGGGAAACTGATGGGTTTGAATGTGAATTTGGTGAATCAATATCACAATGATATTAAGACGGACTGACTATATAAAGCCAAAGGCCTGCCGCCCTAAACAAAACTGTCAAATTTTATCTGCTTAGAGGACCCATTTAATTTTAAAATGATTCTGTTTTTTCAGGTTGGTTGAAATTGAACAGAACTCTTACTGTATGATTTACAACACTATCATGTACAGAATCGATTAATCAATGGTTGGATTTCTCCAGTGAATGAAAAAGCTTGATAATGGGAAAGCAGAGGAGGGATAGAGGACATCATATAGGGCTCTGGTAAAATGTGTTAAATAATGAAAATGACCATTAGTTGCAGCACAACCTATTATTTTAATGAGAACATTTGTAATGTAACAATCCTGACACAAGTCTTGATCCACCTTTCAATGCAGCCCAGAAACTCATCCTGTGTACTACTTTGCCTTATCTGACCTCCAATCAATCAACCACAGCTAATAGCCGACATCATGCTCTTTCTACCCTGGCTGCCAGACACAGGCCACTCAGGAGGGCAGCATGACTCCTCATCACCCTCATTTACTGCGGCCGTGCTAACGAGGAATGACAAACAAGATGAGAAAGAAAGGTGTGCGGGAGCAGCTTAACAAGTCCTGTGATTACTCATTCACGACTCTTATCTTCCCTGCAGACTCTCCTATCGAACCGGACAGGACACGGCTAACTGTGACACATGCCGGAACAGCGCATGCATTATTTACAGGTAAGTGGCCATTTCTCTTCAAAGACATGATGATCTGAATGTGCCCTTTCCTTTCTCCTTGAGGGAAAGTGAACAGGTGGAAAAGGGACAGTATGGATGAGGGGAAGGGGCTGGAGATGCAAGACTAATATGGACGCTGTTAATGAGCACATGGGGACGTGTGACATTTACACACCACGCTCTGCAAAGCAGAAAAGATATATACTATAGCGTGAGCAAAAGGTGGAATTAATTACCATCAGAACATCATGAAATATTATCACTGTGTGCTGTTGCCAAGCCAACTGAAGTTATGCATACCAACCAGTACCAACGCAAGTCCAAAGTCATTAGTCTACCAGGGTACATAGTTCTCTTTTTATGAAGGTGTATGTGTAAGTATGTGGAATAATAAAAGAAGCTGATTTATCGATTAGTCGGTTGTTGCCATCAATTTAGATAACTGAACTGAACTAATTTTTTCAGTAGTAGTAGTAGTTATCGAGACATGACATTTGCTGTAAAATGAATCCCTTTCAGTTTTTGACTGGTGGTCCATTTGGTCTCTTAGAACTTCAGATCTAAAGCACAAATACAAATTTTGACCTGATCATGGTTCAAGATGAAGTCAGAGGATCACCAAAGCCATTGGAATTCATCCTTTAGGGACTTTGAATATCTGTAGAAAATTTCACAATGATCTATCCAATAGTTATCAAGATATTTCATTCTGAACCACAAATGTGAACCTCAAGGTGGCGCTAAAAGAAATGGCATGCATCTTCATGGCACTATGTATGTCTGTACAAAATTTCTTGGCAATCCAACAGTTATTAAGATATTTCAGCCTGGATCAACGTGGTGAATTGACTGACGGACCAACATTACCATCTGTGGAGCCACATTGCTAGCGTGGCTAAATCCATAATCCATAGATTGTCAGAGATCATATGACAAAAATAACCACTAATTATAGAACTGATGTGAAACTGTGTGGGGGTAAGCTAACTTTTTCTGTTGGTGGCCCTGACCTTGCAGGTCCTGACACCTCCGTCCTCTTTGATACACAATGAGACTGACAGTCTGCAGGCCCAATGAGGGGCTTTGCTTGAAGTTAAAATTGCATGACACAATCTGTATGTGCATGTGTGTACGTGTCTGGCTGTTTTTCACTTTGGTGCTTAGAGAAAGTATGATTCTAACAATCAAAAAGAACAGGAGGGGAAGAAGATGAGAGTAAGAGGGCAAAAGGGCATCAATGTTTTTAGTGGACACTGCTGTTCCACTCAGTCGGCATTCTCCTCCGGAGAGCCATTTAAAATAATTTTCTATCTACTGCTCTCAATAACTGATAAGCCACCGGCCAAACTTCAAATATATGAAATAGAACAAACTGTTGAGACAGGTGCTTGCCTGGTATAAATTAGTCAGCACCATGTTTAATGCTAACTCTATGTGATTTGGCCCTGGGAGAGAGAAGGCCCTGCTCCCTCTGGTCTACCTATCCCCCCATCTCCACTCCGCCTGCCGATTCGAGTAAAGACCAACTGTGCTTGCCCTGCTGTGCCAGTCTCTGTGTTCACCAACCATCCCTCTGAATCTGTGAGCACAAACTGCAGTGTGATAATAACACATCTAAATTTAAAAAGTATGTGCAGTTCCCTTCTAAGGTTCTTTTTGTCAAGACAGTCTTGGAAGCTCAGAGTGTACCTATACTGATCACAGGTGTGTTGGGAAAGGTGTTTCATTTAAATTACCTATGATTACCATTAACATGACCTGAATAACCAATGAAGGTTTAAAATATACAAAATGCAGGGTGCAATAAAAACTATGATTATGTGTGTCCATTTGAATATGAGCCAATTGCACACACATGTCAGTGAGTTGTCCAACATATCTCTCTTATCTTATCTATGCTTGAATCTCCATGGGGAAACTGAATAAAATATAAAAGGTGTCACAGTCAAAGTCAGGTCAGATTTGTCCCTTGACTTGGCCTGTGTTGATCATGCACGCACAATGACAACTGTCTTCAAACATGCGCTATATTAACATCAAAACTCCACATTTCGCTTCCTACATCTGCCGCAATCAATTGAAACGCTTCACCTACAGAGGAAGTGCAGAAAAAAAGAAACTCATTACAAAATAGAAAGCTCATTTTTGACAAACCTTGGCAGGGTTTCAACTTGATAAAGGGCAGAAATTTCTAAGTGAGATGTTTGAAATCTGTTAAATTGATCTGAGTTCTCCTTTAAGAGACTCGCTTGGCATGTTAAATTGTGTTGATTGGACACAGAATCAAATATAGCAGTTGTATTCACACAGGCAGGAGGATTAAATGGCAATCTAATTACTTAGATCTCCATGAAAACAACCTCTCTGGAGGTGGAGGAACACTGGATAGGAAGCAGAGCCATGAAGGAACACAAACTGTATGTGGGAGGAATGGTCTATAATATCTATTAGGATTTTCCGTGTGTACATTTGTGTCTTTGCATCAGGGCCAAACGCCTGAGTCTTGGGTTTATGATAAAGCTGGTCTCATGACCTGAGTGGACATATGGGTCCATAAATCACCGTAAAACGCAGCCCGGTAAGGAGCCAGTCATGCTCTCTTCAGTATAATCAATTTATCCTAGAGTATATGGCATCATCTCAGAGCCTATCCTTAGCATAACAACAGCACCAGATCAATATAGTGCTGTAGTTTAAGGGCATGGACTTCAAACAGAATATACAAGCTGCTGTGGTCTCATGTCCTTGTCTAGTCCCACGTTCCTCGTTTTGAAACATTCTGAACTCAGTCCGTCTTTCTTTTATCCTCCCTCAGTAACTTTCTCTCTCTATCTTGCCATTTCTTCAGAATACGTTATCTTCTCCTAACAGCTAACAGTGTGTGTTCAAATGAATTTGGGGATTGAATGCTTAAATAACGTGCATGCCACTGAAAGAGAATAGGAGAGATTATTGCAATTCATTCCATCTTGCCAGGTGATGTAAAATATTTTACTGAGAAAGGTGGGGAGAGGAGAGGAATGAGGGGAAAAAAGAAAAGAAGTCAGAGAGTAAGCATGAGAGACAAACACGGGGAGATGCTGGAAAGGAAGAAAATGAGACAGATAGGACGGTGCAGAAAAGCTGAGGATTTGAAATGCATGCCACTTATTTCAAGACCACAGCCATTAAGTTGTGATGCGACTTGATGTAGAAACCCTGTAATCTCATTTTCCTCACAATGCATTTATATGGCCTAATGTGCTGATCAAACAAGGCGAAACATTTAAGTGGTTGTGATTAAACAAGTCGAATGGAAGTTCCCCAACACTGGGTATCATTGTTCACAATGGACTACAGTTATTTCCAATCAGTCTAATTTTGTCAATAGCTTGCATGTCTTGCGATTCATTCAGAAACGGGGAACTGCAGCTGATCATTAAACTAACTATCTGATGGTAAAACATTCTTTGAATAACACTGCAGTGCAAATAGATTTTTATTTTAAATCAACAAAGTAGAATCGGTATTTAAAAAGGGGAAAAAAACTCCAATCTATTGTGTGAGGCTATGAAAATCAATTAAGCGTTGCTAAAGGCTGAATTGCTGATTACATTATAACATATGGAAATTACTGAGTAGCAAGGCTGTCCTACTGCACGAATCTGCCAGGGGAAGATATCTCTTTTTGTGCAAGCATAATGATGTTTTCCAACATGGTGGCAAGCTGGTTACCATAGCTACAAGAGGGATCCTCGGTAGGACAGATAGTGTGAAGGGACAGTGAGGACAGTGGGGAAGAGCACATTCGCACCCGGGGAAGATAAGGGAACAAAAAGGAAGACAGGGAAAGAATGTGAAACATAGAGACTGAGAGAAGATGAAGAAGACAGCAAAAGATAAAGACTCACAGATGTTTAAAGCAAGGTAAAGGACAGGCGTGTATGTCGATGAATGAGTTAAAATGAGACGTTACGCAAGTAGGGGACGAGTTCCTTTCCCCCCCCTTGTAGATCGACTTTTTGGAGAGCAAGAACATGACAAGAAAAGAGGGGGGTTAGCGAGAGAGAAACAAAGCTCATCAGGTAGAGTGCGCAGCACGTATCAAGGCTGAGTCCATACAGCAGCGGCCTGGATTCCGAGTACCGATCTGAGCCCTTTGTTGCATATAATATCCTCATTTGTCTTTCCTGTATCTCTACTTCAACTATTGAATAAAGCTGAAAATGCCAAAAAAGCATTTTTTTAAAAGTGAAAGAGTCAGAACAAGTGGGGGAGAGAGGTTAAATACTGACAGGGTCCAAAGTGCCTTCTTTAATTTGTTCCGATCCAACAACCCACTCAGGGGAGTCGCAGCCAGGGGAGGGGAAAATGCCAACAATGCTTCACTTTTTGCTTTGAGCAAAAAATCAAAATGTAGAGCGAAGCAGCAGGGCCCTGACAGTTCCATAAGGAGATGCTGATAACTGGGCCGGGTAGAGACTAATAAATCTTTCATAAAAAAGCCTTTTGAGTATGTTTCAAAGATTAGATGATTATCCTTTCACTATGCTTTTTTCAAATGAAATTATGCAGATTTTTTTCTTGTCAGTGACATTTGGGTTTTCTTGCTATGCTGTTCCCAAGCCACATGCCGCTTTACCTCTACTGGGTGTGATTCTACTGGCAGATTAAAAGCTATGTTTTTGATGAGTGGCAAATTTAATTAAAGAGTAGATTCGGCTTCACAAAAGTAAAAGTCAGGCTGAGATAAAATAAACACCTACCAGGGCCACAGATCTGGACTACATGAATATACAGGTTAATCAAATATTATACGCTGAGATTCCTTGAGAGAGTGTGTTTATGTATTTAGTCTGATTATAATACAGCTAGAGCTTTATTAAACCTGAAAAAAATACTGTGACAGTACACTAATACACGTTGCATGAGGACTTCTAAGGACACTGAAATGATTGTAGCTGAATAATGATTTATAATCTTACATCACCTCTATGGTTTCAAGTGGGATAAGTGGCAGTGCATAAACATGTGTCAGGTGAAGCATGTCCACCTGTTTTTTTAAAGACAATACAAACCTATGTAGTCCTTTCTTTTTTCGACCACCTTGACATGATACTTGATATAACACTTTCAAGTATCTCTGAGATTAAGTAGAGCGTGATTTAGGGTGAAGTGAACACTAAAATCCTCTGTAAGATAGATAAGTACTAAGTAAGATCATTAAAGTAACAGTATTGTACAATAACACTCAGTTGAACCTACCGAAGCACATGCACAAACACAAAGGCAAGAGCTGAACAAAGACTGCCACACAAGTCCTATGAACTGAATGCACTGATAGCACTACTCTCATAAATCGAAAACATGTCTAAAGATTGTACCATAAAAATAATTCTTTAAATCTTTAAAACGGCTCTGTGTCCATACAGGGCAATAACCTGTAGCCATGGATGCAGAGCAACAAGAGTCTCAGCTGTATTAGAGGCTTACGCTGAAGGGCAGGGGAAATCCTATCACTGTTGCAGTGTGTCTGTGCATGTGTGTGAGAAACATATCCCGCAAAATTGCCACAGCATTAAGCTACAGTACGTCCCTGAAGAAGCCAGAAAAAAGGTAGTGAGATCTGTTTCTCTGTTCCTTATACAGTATAAATTTAAGTTTTTTAAAGAGATAAAACGAAATACTCAGCATGCAGCTACAGCAATGACACCACCACACACTCATTAGACTCTGACAAACATAAAGTCATTGATCACAGAATCCTTTGATGTTCCGTTACTACAGTTATTTGAGCTGCAAGAGCCTGTTCATTTTCTAGCCGTTGAATTACGTTTATTTCATGAGCCTGAGTTTGACTTCAGAAGATACTGTGATCTTATCATACATCATGAGTCTGAGGGTTGTGTTCACACTCATAGTTCAGTTCCCTTGGGCCTGACCAAAGGAAACAATGAATCTAAAACTGGTATCAACAAAAGGAATCAGTACATGTAAGATCGTGAAAAGACAGAAAGAGTAAAATCCAAAACAGACTGCATCAAAACAGTCAAGATAAATTGTACAGCATCAGGTAAAAAAAAAATGTTTATAGCGGAAGGTTTTCAGAAGTAATTTCAAATATATTCCATAGTCCAATTCTGACTGCTGTAGGTCTGACATGTTGTCTGGCCAATTCATTTGTGATACATGAAATATTAAAATCCATTCACAATTTATCTTCTCTCTTTTTGTCTTTTCCTGGTATCTGGTAAAAGCCTGGACCGCTGAATTTTGGACCAGTTTTTTGCCAGAAAGACTTAAACAGAATGACGAATGATTCATTGTTGCCAGGCCCAGTGTAAAGGCCTGAGTCAAACAAATGAAAGTGCTGAGTGTCTGGTTCAACATTCACTTGAGTCACTGTCAGACACCAACATTTACGTCTGTTCTGTTCGAATCAATGCCAAAAGTATCACATAATCAAAAAGTGCTATATTTTACTGTGACACCTGATTGGATTTAACCTTCAACTCCTCATTTGTATGGCCTGGAATTTTTTAGTTGGCTGTGCTTTCAGATGCACCAGATGTTGACCTGTAATATTGACTGTTGATTATGAGGCCTTGGCAAGACAATTAAGTTGTAAAGTTACGCTGTTGCACTGCAACATCACTCTCTTGCACTGAATTGTAAGGCAATGTCAGGCTAATGCTACTTTTAAATGTTAGGTGATATAGCAGAGGGAGGCAGAGATTAAAAACGCAGTATTTTGAAAGCGAAAAAATTTTATACAGCAATGCAACAAATTCTAGGGACCACGTTAGCTGTTTTACCTTGAGCAACTGTCTGCAACAATAAAGAATACAGCTAATCAGCCAATAATTGAGGATGCACAGTTAACCTTGCCATCCAACACTGAGAGGTTTATGTACTGAGGTGTATCACACAAATACAGCAAGAATCATCTTTTTATATTATGGAAAGTATAAAAAGAATGTTGTCAGATTTTTGAAAGCACTTTCTAAATAAAAGGGGAGTTCAGGTTTATCTGACTGCTTGTATTAACTGATGAAAAATCAGCCATGTGCAGTAATATAGAAAATTGAGGACGCTATACATTGAGATGAATCGAGAATCGGTGTGCATTCGAAACGTTGACAGGTGAATCGGATCGCGAGCCCAGTGAAGATTCACACCTCTACTTGACACTGCATAATCTCTCACAGTGGTAAACAGCAGCGTCTAGCCAGACAAACTGCAGTATTCATAAAGTGAATCCTGTAAGTCTGTCAGTCAGAGTCCCCACCAGCCTGACTCAGGCTAGTGGCTGGACGAGGATTTAGCAGATTAAAGTCCCTATACACTTACCAGAGCTGAAGCTGTAATCTGAGTTTCACTTAGCAGTAGTCAGATGTGCGGGGGCGTGGGATTACCATGATGGCTGGTCCAGATAAATCACCTAGCAGCCTGGGGAAACTTGGAGTATACCGAGAATGAAAACAATCTGTTTGTTGGTGTGTGGATAAAAATCCCACAAATTAATCATTCCGCATCCCCATGACCTCTTGCTGATGTTGTAATATTGTGGAGGAATCAAAGCAACATCATATAAACTCAATACCCAGGCTCTGATCTCAGATTTAGCAAAGCAAATGATCTTCAGTTCAACACCCCCTCCAGTGACCCAGCACTCCTCACTGGGAAAAATACTAATGGGCTTCCCTTTCACTTTATGAAATCATGATAAGAATGCAAATAACAAAAACAACAGCAGTGGCAGCTGTAGCAGCCAAAGTGGGCAGCCAGATGCAATCAAAAACACTCTGAATTGGGAGAATTTACTGGGAATGAGGATGAAGCAAGTAAGAAATGTAGGTCGCTTCACCAGGCTGAGCAGTGCTGTGACAGATGCCTGTGTAGGGTCAAGTGAGAACAGGCCACAACATAGATACTTAATATGGTTGGAGGGGGAGTGTGGCAGTCAAAACATGTCAAGATTAAAAGAGGCGTGAAGGGGACAGAAGGGGGGGGGGGGTTTCAGTGTCGCTGAAATATACACAGTCAAATGTATCAAATAAAATCCAGTATTCAAATAACGGGGGCAAATAACAAGTTTGAAGGCTGGTTCAAAATAAAAGCCAGCTAAATGAATAATAATGACGATAAATTCACAATAATTCACATTTCCGCAGCATTCATTCAGTACAGTAACATAGTTGAGCTGTACTCACCACTGTATAGCTGTGAATAGAGGAGAAGTACTATTAATACACACTGATTCATTCACTCTGATCAATTCTTGCTGGGTGGGCATTAACGTAACTCATAGTGAAGATAGTGTTTGGGTTGCATTAACAGCAGCAACAGCAAATTAATACAGAAAGCAGAAGAGAAAATCAGAAAACAGGGAGGCGTATATATAAGAGATGATGTTATTGAGCATGTGTTGTAATAGCAACTGGACGAGGTTGTTTGAGCTGATTGTATGTCTCTGTTTCTTTGCTGTAGTGTGGAGCTGGACTTCAAGCAGCAGGAGGACAAGCTGCAGCCGCTGATGAAGAGGCTTTGCCCTTCAGACGACGCCCACTTCGCCCCCCTGCCTTACCCCCAGGAGGCCTTCACCTCCACCCCAAAACGCAAGTCCAAAGCTGACTCCAAGAAGCACGCTCGCTGGAAACTTTGGTTCCTGTGAAAACACAGGACCATCTCCTCACCCAATACCGATGCACAGGATTTATGCATCCGTCTCGTCGTTCGTTCGGTTTGTCCATCGTCTTTTATTTTATCACATCTACTTGGCTTTTTGTAGACTTGGTAACCAGTATTAATGGAGAGCTCCACAACTGGATACTGAATCCCTTTCTCAGAGATGACTGGATGTGTAATGGGACACAAGTGTGGATTCCACGGAAAAATCTAAACGTCATGCTTACCAAAAATTCCAATTTATTTTGAACTAATTTCTTCAAACAGGGTGTGAAATTACACCACGGCAACACATTTGGAGATCAGCAAGGTGGGAAGATGTATTTGATTTCCTTCTGTCTATGTGCATATATTTTTCTAGCTGACATCCATGGGGTCCTATTCTATGATAATAGTCCAGTGACCATCACATTTCTATTCACCAGTTGGGACTTTGTCTTTCTTCCCAGCCTCCAGGAGAGGTTGGCAAGTCAACCACGATGCTCTGAGGTCTACATCAACAGCATATCACCATACTGCAAAGCACAATTAACACTGTTCAGGATACCTTTTCTCCAGAATAATTAAAAAGAACTATTTTGAGTATTAACTCACACCTGTAGATCACCTCCTAACAATGACAGATTGAAGACTTTCATAATATCTAAAGAAGAGGCCTAATGGACAAAGAAGTCAGAGATGTTTATGGAAATTCTATGATCAACTTTCTATCCATTGGTAAAATGTCTCCTTGAATCGACTGACTTTGAAGTAAAAAATGAATAAATAACAGTTATTTTCTTAATAACATTTGCAAAGTTAGACGTCAATGTACTTTTTTCTATTTAAATATATATCTATAGACATTCACTTTAAGGTTTAGTGGAATATATTTATTTGAGCTGCTGTGAAGGGGGCTGTGCATTTTTAAAATTACAGTTCATAGGAGGTAAATCATTTCTGATTCTTAATTCCTTTTCATACATCAAACTTAGTTCTTACTAATCTCACAATGCATATGGTCAGTGAAACCCAATAGCCTAAAGAAAAGAGGGAATCCATACACACAAATGTCTTCAGTATGAAACTATAGAAAGTTCTGGCTGAAACAGAAAAAAAAGAGCCTTTATTGTTTTAGTCACAAAAGCAAGTATAATAAATTATGTTGGTTCTTAGCACATGTGAGGGGTAACAGAAGATAGCTGTGATTGTATTGCTCCAGTATCCTGCTCCAGCTACTCAATAGCTACTGAAATCAATCCAGAAAGACTGAATGTGCCACTTCTGATCACAACCAGGGCTTCTACAGTGCAGGGTGGCAGGCGTGTGGCCTTGCATGCTTTTTACAACCCTCGGATTTTGCAGGATCTTTTCTAGCTTTTAAAGAACCATTTTTTAAAGAGAATGACACAAGTTGTTTTTTTCTTTACCCCCCCCCAAGCTCACTGCTTCTCATCTATTCGACTGTAAAGTAAAATTCATGTAGTAACTCCATACAGGGTTCAAACACTATGTACAGCCAAAATAATATTTGCATTTACTATATATAAATATATGTTGTATAGCATCAAATAGGGCTAATACCATTTTAATGAGTAGGACAGCAGCCAGTATCTAAAAGAAAACATTACATTAGTAACGTATGCAGGAGCATAAAACCGAAGTCCCTCTCAAAGCCAAAAACACTGCCCCAAAACACAGGAAATGCGCCAAAGTGGTTTCAAGGGCATAAAAGAAATATCTTTATCTACTGTCACAACAACACCTTGCAAACTACTAGATATCACTGGTTTGACTTTCACAAGCTCCAACATGCTGCTTTCTGTTGGCTACATGTGATTCACACCTCCACTCTTGTACATGCCAGGTTGGTTTCTTTCAGTAGTTATGCTGTAGCATCAAGAGAACTAGATGTTTATCTGTACCTTAAAGAAGTGCAATTGATTTATTATGTGCAATACTGTGTATTTTATACTGTTTTTAAAAAAGAAATAAAATAAAGATATTTAATATGCAAAATATGAAAAATAAAAACAGACATCTACAGAGCTCTCAAAGTCTGAAGAAGACTCAGTTTCATTTGCATAGCATAGTGGTACAGTGAGTAGCTTGGTAGGATGTTAGAATGTTACTGTTAGGTAAATATCAGATAAAGGGTAGGCTAATTCAGATGACAAACAAAATATATTTTCAGACTTACCTGTCATGGCCATTTGCAGCAGTTTAAATTATATTCAACCTAGATTGTGATGTCTGATATATCCAGTGTGAGCATCACTGTTTATGGGGAAATGTTGCTTTTGAAATGTTTAAATGTAATTTATTTAATGCTGTGAGCGATACATGCGAAATGTCATTCACCTCAAGTGGACTGGGGTGTCAGCAGAAATTGCAGAGATAACTATCTGCATGGCTAAACAGTACTATGAGGTAGTTTGGGTGAACCAAACATCTAAATTAGAATTCCACTTAGGCTTCTGTATGCAAAACAATCACCTCTACACTCTTATGAGATGAAAGAGGAGATAAGGTTGAAAATCCACCTAAAATCAGCCCTGCATCTCTTTGATGTAGTAGGGTGGCACAACACGTGAGCAGAATACAACAGAGGGATAAGCAGCAAATGGTTTCTGGTGCAGGATGTCAACCTGCCTTAGGAACTGCTTGTGATCCAAAGCTTATATGCACAGCACACTTTTTGCCCTAATCATCCTTACTTTAATGCTGACTTTCGGGCACATTCGTGCGTTGGTGTGCATACATGCAGCTGCCTGGTTGGCACAGACCAGCAGCAATGAGGTGAAACCATGAGGTAAACTGGGGACAAAGCTCGGAGTAAATGCCCCAGAGATCCAGAGTCACCCTCACATGGAGGAAGCTACAAGAACCAACATTGCTCAAGGCAACACTGCCCAACCTCCTCTCCCCTGTTGAAGGGCCAAGTCCACAGGGCTTCCCCCAGGTGAATGTTTACAGTACAGTACTGAGGGAACAAACAAGCTTCGCATTTCGCTTTCTTACAGACTTTAACCGTAGTCCTCTGTGGTTTGAAGGTGACAAACATCACCATGTGAGCCCCAGTGCTTTTCACACAGTGTCAACAGTGAGCACACGTCTGACATGAGTTGTCGCTGGGTCAATAAACCCAAGACGACGATCAGTCAAACTTTTAGCACAGGAGAGGAGGAGAGGTGCAGCGAGTGAGCGATAAGTGCATGTCCGAGGCATTATGATGCAGTGCCATATCTCACTATGCTTCTTTTCTGTAAGAGCTCTGCAGCAATCTAGCTAGCAGGAGAGAGAGAGGGAGAGAACACAGAAAGAAAGAAGCTGATGCTGAGAGAAATATTTGGACAGAAAAAGATATAAAGACAGGGTGATAAAGAGAGTGAGTGATACAGAAAGCCAAAGACACAAGAGAAGATTCTAGTCTGACATTGAGATGGCTTTGTTGCAATATTTCAGTCAGTGAGTGCATGTAGCAAAGAACGAGCTCCAGCCCCTATAGCCGGTCAGCCCCATACTGTCAATCAATAACGTACAGTCCTTCCTCTGCAGCTTTCTACTCCATTCCTTCTGCACACTGCAGGATAATCGTCAGGATAACCGTGAAGCACTGCAGCCAACTATAACCACAACCTGCTGTCAGTTTTCCTCAGGTCTCAGACTACTATATTATTTTGACATTTAGGCATTTCTGACAATGCATAAAAAATGATGCAAAGGTCAGTAACTAACTTCACAGAAAAAGAAAAACACAAAGGTTTTTTCATTGTTTGGTTGGAATTTTAAAAGCAGAAGACAAGTGTGTAAGCCCTAAATTCCACCAGGCATGGCTTTATAACACTGCGTATGTGACCTGGTTTTGTTCCGTCCTCTGCACGATTTTGTTGACTTGCTTAGATTTGGTTGATTTTGTCATTATTCCTTGTTTATTACACTTCTTCCATGGGTAAATAGGCTACATAGTTATATGGTTTCTATTTTTGTCAACTTTAATTGTGTTTGTTGTTGCTGTATACGTTCAGGAATGTGCACACGAAGTTCTGTGTCTGCCTTCCTGTCTGGTGCAATTGGTTCTGTTCAGCTCGACATGGTTTCGGTGAAAAATAGACTAGTCGCCTATTCTTTGGGGAGCAAAGTGGAGAGCCGGTTCTGGGACGCTGGGAACACGCTGCGCGCATGGAATTAGAAGCATTGTCTAGAATGGCAGCGATCAGCTATGGTGGCCGCATCACAGCAGGAACGCGACGCAGCAGTGCCCAGTGAAATTCAGTCTTGACATACAGATTTTTCAAGCTGCAGCTTCCTATCAATGAGTATCTGCAGGACTCACCCAGAAGCTTAAACTAGAGGAAATGTAATTCAAGGGCATAATGGTAGAACTTGGTAATTTCAGCAGAGACAGACAAAATGTTTCTGCTGCTATCCTAATGTAAATGTATTCACAAGGACTCATCTCAACCTGTGTGAGAGTGGACATGAATATAAAAATACAGCCTGCTAGGATGTCCAACAATGCAAATGCAGCAATGCTGTGTCTAAGTTGCCAACAGGCGTAGCACTGCAGTGACAACACAAAACAAAACACACCCCCAAGCCGTCACTGTGATGATTCTCATCAACATTCTGTGTCCACCCCCACCAGGAGAGAGGAGAAAGGAAAGAAAAGAGAGCGTGAGAGAGCGAGAGTGAGAGAGAATGAGAGAGAGAGCGAAGAACGTTAATGCATAAATCTAAATGTAAGAGGCTGCCACTCAGAAGAACAAGGTCGGTGGTTGGCTGCGGTGTTATGTGAGCAGCAGCGCGCAATCTGCCTGCAGAGAAGGCAGCAGTACCCACCGGCTGCAACAACAGACCTCTGATTAGAAAGCTACGGCACTTCCAGCAGCTCTAACTGGGTCTCATAGTTACAAATTCACACCAACCTTACTGATCATTAAATAGTAATTCTGGGGCCTGCTTCAAATGCTGCTTCTGTCCCAAGTGCTGTATAACATAGTGTTTGCGTAAAAAAAGAGCCATAGTGCCTTCAGAAGGACAAGGGCGGTCGTGACCTCCAACTCCCACTGGGTAAAAGGACACTGCACACTCGTGCTAAATATTAGGCATCAGCTGTCAAAAGGCAGGGGTCAGTAGGGACAATTAAAGCAAGCTGTGTATAAGGAAGTGAAGTAAAAATAGAAGGCATGTACACAAAGTAGATTCAATAAGTAGTTTCAATAAGGATCACAGATTGTCAAGGGTAGAGCAGTTTCATTAACCAGAAAGGAAGCTGGTCTGCTTTTGCACTATTTAGCAGGCACTGCTGGAAGCAGGGAACGCCATTTCACCTGCACCATAGGAGGGATGCTGAAATGGATGCACAGCAGAGAGGAGACCTGCGTGTGTTGCCATCATGAGTGTTGATAGCCTTTTAGTCAAAGTGGTAGGTAAGTTCCATATCTGAAATACTCGATCAAAAGAACCACACTGCAGTGAAAAACAGGAGCGGGAGTACGGCAGGAGTAGATGCACAGTCTGTATCTCTCACTTAAAAATGAAAAGACTGGATGAGGGAGGGAGAGGGAGAGAAAGAGGGAGTTCTAGACCCCCTCCAGGCAGCCGGCTGGGAGAAAAGGGGCAAAAGGGAGGCCCCAGCTCAACTAACAGCTTCATTAGCTTTACATTATGCTTGCCATCTATTACACAAAAGAGTTCTCCCCATTTACGCGATTAGCCTGGTGCATTGCTGGAAGACTTTTAGACTGAGGAAAAGATGAAGGAACAGCTAGAGAATCTCTGCACTACAATTTCACTTTACTGCAACTTTGAAGGA